ACAAACCCCTGTCCAGACATGAGAGAACACAGAAAGATGACAATGTTTCTTTCTGCTCTCGGTGAGAGTCAATGCATGTACATAAGGCACAAGCTTGAGATTCAAGGGAAATCTCAACAAGGACAAGTGCCCAAAAGTGCAGGGGTATCAGACAGGGGCCGTATTGGAAAAGGTAGCAAAGCTGACAGAGTGACAGAGAAACGGGCAGACTAACTCAGGCTGAACCTGAGCAGATGTGCTCCACTGGTCACAGTGTCACAAATCTCTCACAGCAAGCTGGAGGGAGCCAGAAAGGTCCAGAATGAAGCACCCACGCAGGAACCCGTAGTTTCCTCCTGTCTTACAGAGGAGAGCAAAGCTCCTTCATGTGCATCCTCTTGTGCATGAAGAGTGGCCGCAGATTTGAAAGCGGTCCCTCAGTTCTTGCCTCCACTCACCTCCTGTCCTCATAAGCACACAGGCACGATACTCCATCACACCCGCAGCTGCTCACACTCACGCACACACCTAACTGGGCCATCTCATCTCTAGACTCACAACCTAAACTTGTTGAAGAAACATGACAGGCACATACACATCAAACTATACTTGCCAAACTTGGTACGCACACGAGCTCTCTCAAAAAACAACACACACTAAGTTTTCCCTTCCCCACAGCAACGTTACCCACCAGACACACTCTAACCACCTAAAGGAGAAAGTGGATATATTTTGAGAAGTAAACATTGGGTTGCAGGCGTAACTGAAATTTTTACACAGGGGAAGGGGCTAAATGTGTTTGTTATTTTGTCAGGAATAATGATTTACCTACTTATTTACTTAAGTTTGTGAATTTAAAGGCATAATCTTTTTATTGGAAATGTAGAGGAAAGCTTCGTGTTGCTGATGAGGATGATAAGGAAGCTCACAAAGGTTGGACAGGATGAGTAGCTGAGCTGCTCAGCCCAATCCCTACTTTCCCTTCAAAAAGAGGAAAGGGCTTCAGGGCAGAGGAAGTAAGACTGAGACCTCTGTGGAGGGACAAATTGGGGGTGTGCTTTCAAGGATAGGACAGTTCCCCATGTGCACACTGGGACAGCTGTGAGTGAGGCAGTGGGCTGTGCTGATAACAGTGTGGGAATTCAGTTACCACCTCTTCCCTAAAATCAGCACAAACTCTCTCTCTCACACACACACACACACACACATATACCCTATATTCCTCCATACCAGGTACAGCCGCATTATTCCTTTTCACTTTCTCATATGCACACGCCTTCATTCCAGATGCGTCTTTCCCATTCTCTGCAAGTGTTACACAGATACACACTTGCGCCTTCCCTCCTCACGCAGTCATTCTCAGACTCTGCTGTCTACAGACTGACCCATAATAATGTACACCCTTTCACACAGGTAGCTTGTTTTAGCTCCCTCAGAGCCATCGTAAGCACTCAAAAACTCCTAATGCCCTGATGGGAATGCACTTTCATGTGCAGTCTTTCTTTTCCACATACCACCTCACCCATAAAACCTGCAGCTCAAAGCCTTCAGCCCCTCAGGGAGCTGCGCTTCTGGGGAGCCCAGGCACACTTCCTCCAACACACTCTATCTTAACTGTTTCACAGTAAGAACGTGTACCACCCCTGTTCATGTGTATTGTCTCACCACACACACATGTACACCATCATTCACCACCCCCTTACCTATGTGAGAAACACTCACCAGCTATGTCCCAGAACATACATAGACCTCCACACCCTCATTCCCACAGAATCACACCACAAACATACTTCAGATAAAGTATACCACACACGGCATTCTTTGACTTCACATACATGTGTACCTGGGGGCCATGTGCACACATAGGAATATTCTCATGACCATCGCAACTCCTACAGACTTCACACACTTACTCTAATTTTCTTGTTTGAAACTTCTTTTCCCAGAAATCACCGAGTTACCTGAAGATGTTCCTCGTGTTGGGGCCCTTGAGATGACTCCGCCCCAGGTCTGGGAGGAGCGGGAAGCTTCCTCCTCCTCCTCCTCTCCCTCCTCCTCCTCTCCCTCCGCCTCCTCCTCTACCTCCTCTCCAGTCCCTGTGAGTCAGCAGGGTGGGTCCTCTCTGTTCCCACAACACACGGACACAGCACCCATCAGGGAAATTTATTACAGGCGTGTCTTTCTGAAAAGAGATGTGACTGTCTGGTGGGGTGGGGTGGAAGTGTTAGAGCCCACCTCTAAAAAGACCAAACTGGTGCAGTGTGTTTTTTCTCAAGTGGCCCAAAAAACATCTGGGGCCTTTTTA